TCAGAAGGATCTACACCTGGACTGAGTAGATCTTGAGGGAACACCAAGTCCAAGAAGTTTGGAAAACAGTCAAGAAGAGAGTGGGTGGAGGGTGACATCTGTACCAGAAGGTTTTAGCAGAGACCCTGATGACAGAGAGGAGTGCAGAGTCAGCCTGCGTGCCCTCTCCTGCATTCAGCGAGTGAGAAAGAGTGCGGTGAGGTGTGCTTAGATAAGAACAGCACACCTCTCAGTCCTTCCCCTCTCACTCCGTCCCAAGCCACCTGAAGCGCTTGAAAGGCTTGGAACTCTTTACACACGTTTCCCCTCTCAAGTCTGTGTATGTGACAGCTCAGGCATGTGACAGTCCGTGCCCTAACCCACCGAAATAAACCCCAGTTCAGGAGGTAGTTGCACAGAGGCTGAAAAGAGGCATTTTATTTGTCTGGAGACAGATGTGTATGGGCTCTGGATGATGTGTTCTGACGCCTGAAAGTGGCACCTAGACTAGTGCATTTCAACCACCTTGTGGAGTGTTCATTGTGGTAGGAACCAGGTGTGCTGGAGAGAGACTGTCAGAGAGACAGGAAAGAGACAGAGTGGCTGGCACTTGAGATGATAGAGCAGGCAAACTATGGAGAGGAAGGAAGGGGACCATCAGGGTGACACGCCCCCTCCCATTCTGGAATTTGGAGGAAGGGTCTATCTAGACAGGCCTGCCCCGTGATTCTGACGCCCAACATCTGAGAGCTTCTGATACCAACCGACCTCGATCTCACGTTATTACACTTGGAATAACATAGAAGGCTTATGATAGTTGGGGTCTATGTACAAGGGTCATCAAGACACTTCCTATGACTCTCCTACCTGATAATTTAGCTGGGTGCCTCCCCACCCCCCACCTCTTTAGCATCTTGTAACCAACTTGTTATTTACTTATTCTGCTCTTTGTTTGGCAGTGACTACATGCTAGGTGGGGAACTCTGGTGGCCTAGTGGCTAAGGAGTTACACTGCCAGTTCAAAAGAAGCTAGTTCGAATCTACGAGTTGCTCCTGTGTGAGTTACACCCTCTGAAAATGCACTGGAAAGTCCACTGAGTCAGTTCTGACTTGACGAACCAAAACAGCGTGGGCTAGGCAGCTAGCTAGCTCTGTGTTATGCTGCTAACCAAAAGACTAGCAGTTCAAATCCACCAACTGCTAGAAAGATGGGCAGTCTTCTCCTATGAAGATTTACAACCTGAGAAACCTTCTGGAGTCAGAATGTACTCCGGGTTAGTGGGGAGATGCTTGCTAGACCTTGAGTCTGTGGGTAAGGCTGATGATTAACAAAAAGACTGAAAGTTCAAGTCCATACAGAGATGCCTCAAAAGAAGGTCTGTTGAGTTACTTCCTAGAAGTTAGCCTCTAAGAAATCCACAAAAGTTCAATTCTACCTTAACATACACGGAGGTACCATGGGTAAAATGGACTCTAGGGCATCTGGTTGTTTCATGCTATTGTTTTTGGGGGATTTGGGGGTGTTTTGGTGGTTTTTTTTTTGTTTTGGATGCTATGTGTTGGGCTGGGCTGAGCTGGGTACTTGGGCACTGGTATGGCTCAGTTCAAAGCCACAAAACAAATAAACCCTCTGCTGTCATAGTTATATTCTAGAAAGAATAAAGTACGTGTGTGTGCACGCGTGTGCGCTTACACGTGCCCATGTGGGCAAGAAAGGGAAGTTGTGAGCTTTAAGTCTAGGTGCCAAGGGATGTTGCAGGCCTGGAAGAACACTTCATGAATTCTTTGACTCTTCTGCTGAGGCCTCCACTGCCAGAGCCCAAGGCTGGGAGCCCCTGAGAGAATCCAAAGTAAATCGCATCACATTTAAAATTCCAGCTCAGCTGTACTTGCTGTATGAGCTTGAGAAAATGATTTACAAAGTTCATTATTCGACTTCAATTTCTTCATCCCTAACACGCATAAATGCTCTGCACACACAGTTGCTTTGAGGAATAAATTCATGTATGCAAAGCAGAGTGTCTGGGGTTTAAGGAACACTGAATCCTCCCAATTTAAATTATCTTTTTTTTTAATAGGAAAAACAATAGTTTAAAAACTATTGAGTAAATCAACATTTTGCATTTTGACCATGACCGTAGAACATAGGTGAACAACCATACCCTTGATGAAAGGGTTGTTTCTTACGAAACCAATTCCTGTTCGAGTGCCAACTTCCTTGGGGGCAGACTGAGATCCCTTTGGTGTTTTGGGGTTGATTTATTCAAGGATGGCGCCCTGGTGGCATAGTGGCTGATGTGTTATTCTTCTAACCAAAAGGTCAACAGTTCAAATCCACCAGTAACTCTTCAGTTCCCTCCCCTAAAATCTGGAGTTTTTGAGCTGAGAAGTGCATGTTCCACTTGCATTTTTGGTCAGACTGTTTGAAAGGGAGTGTGCTTGGGAACAGGGAGCGAGATGAGCAAACCCAAAACCACAATAAAGCCAGAGAGAGGAGTGTCTGAGGCAAGGAAGTGGTAATGAGACACGCAGAGGGGATGGATCTGAAAGGCCTTGCTGAAGTAGAAACCATGTGGATAGAATAGCAACACAGAGCATTTCTCTAGGCAGAGTCCTGCTACGCAATTCTCTCCCTAAATCATCACAATTTAGGAAAATCACTATTTTATATGTGCAGAGACTGAGACTTAAAGAAGTAATTGGCCCTGAATTGCACAGTTTGTAAGTCGGCGGGCAAGATTCGAATCCAGATCTACTTGGTTCCAAACGTCCTGGAGGGGACCCAGGATCGCATCAAGCATCGTTTCTCAGAAAACTCAGTCAACGACAGCCACTAAATAAGAAATGTATGTGCAGGCACAGTTTCCTAGGGCACTACGGTTGGATGAGATAGGTTCATTGCCTTGTTCACTGTCTCTGCAGAGAACTATGATCAGAATGTGGTGCATAATAGACACTCAGTAAATACTGATTCTATAATTATATCATGAGGAGGAGATAGAAAACTCACCTGTGGGGGTTAGGAGAAAGATGGGCCTTAAAGATAGAGCTTTGAGAATCATTAGCCAAAGGGGTGTTAGAAAGCTGAGTGTGGACAATTATATTCTTCAAGAAATTGTATTATTCACCATCGCAAGAACATGGAAACAGCCCAAATGTCCAACCACAAAATGAATGGACTGAGAAAGTACACATTCCGTTCACACAATGGAATACTATGCAGCCTGCAATAACTTTGTAAATTACTACCTAACTTGGGAGGGACTGGAGAGCATTATGTTGAGTGAACTAACTCAGTCCCACAAGGATAAATATTGTATAAGACCATTATTGTAGAATGAGTATAAGGAGCCAGGAGGGGTGGGAGAGGCTGGAAGCAGAGGGATGCGGATGTGCAGGGGGAAGAAAGGATTAATCATTGGATTGTACAATTTGATAGGTGGAGGGCGAGGGAAATGAAAAGAATTTGTTCGAACTTGTATTTGAATTTTTAAAATAAACTAGTGGGAAAAGAAATTGTAACAACAATAAGGAGGCGGAAGTTAAGAGAACAGAGAGTCAAAGTTAGTGCCCGGGGGTGCTAAAGAGGAGAGGAGCCTACAAAAACAAATCTAATAAGAAGTTTTCAGGCAGGAGCCACCCCTGGCAATCATAACTATTTGGAATGGAAGCCACTGGCAGAGAGATCAATGAGGACATTTAGAAACGGTGCTGTGACTGACAACCATGGCAGAGAAGTTTTGGTAGGATGATGGGGGCAGGAAGGCCAAGGCAGGGGTTGGTATTATAGCATCCAGTTAGGATACTTTTGGCTCTGCAAGGAGCAAAAACACAAACTCAAGGTGGCTTGAACGTGGGGGATAATTTCTGTGAGACAAAAAGAAGAGAAGTCAGGAGTAGAATAGGATAAGGGAGGATTTAGGACACAACGATGTTGAGACTCTGCCTGGCCTCTCTGCAGTTCTTTGTGCCTTTTCTTTATGAACTCAATCTACATGTCCTTCAAGACTAGTCCTAAAGCAGAAGGGGCAAGTGGGCGTTTCACTTTTCTCACTCTCACCCCACTCATTACTATTGAGTCAGAACCAGCTCAAATCAGACCTTCCTGGTGGGTTTTCAGAGGGTGTAAACAGGCTGGAGTTGGGAGGAGACTGACTGCTCATCTTTCTCCCGTGGAGCACCTGGCAGATCCAAACTCTGGTGGGGACTCCACCACCAAAGCCCCCTCACTCTCACTGAGGCAGTGACGCCCCTAGAACTCTCCCTCTTATGAGGTAATGAGGTCACGTGATTCTTCACCACCTGCAAAGGAGGTAAGAAAAAGCAAATTTTCAGCGTTTTCAGCTTTCTAATGAAACTTGCTGGACTATTGTGAAATAAGATATTGTGTAATCTAGTGTCTGTGATAAGGAACGGAAAGGAAGTAAAGGACTAGCGTGCAGTTCTACAGGGATGCTACCGGGTTCCAGGTTCAGCTGCCAACCGTAAGGCTGGAAGTCCACACAGAGGCAACCCAGGAGAATGGTCTGTCAACCCACTTCCGAAAAATCAGCCACCAGAACCCCCACGGAACACAACTGTAGTCTGAGGAGCAGGGGGTCCCCAGGAATCTGGGTTACTCCGTGGTGACCAGTTTAATGGACTGGCCCACATGTTTTGAAGGAGATGATTCCAGAAAGCAGCAAGTTGCCAGTGGAGTCAGGATACAATCAAGATTAGGAGTTGTGGGAATGGTGTCATCCTGTGTGGTCATCCTTTGACTCGTTGGCAAGGGAACATTGATCCCTCTCACACACAACAAGCCATCCCACACCTCAATCTTTGTTTAGAAACATCAGGGAGGATGACAAAGAAGCCACCCCTCACTTATGCTCTGAGTGTAGAAGACGACTGAGAACCTTGTTGCTGTTGTTTTCCTGGCTCTGGGCAGCCCCCTATGTACTACGTAGAGAGAGCTGTGTTCCATGTTCCAAGACCTTACAAAGTGGACCTTTGTTTTCTCCACAGGGCTGTTGAACAAGATGGACTACATAACATCAAGTGGGCTTTTTGACATCGATTACAGCATTGGGGAGCCCTGTCAAAAAACCAACGTGAAGCAAATCGCAGCCCGCATCCTGCCCCCGCTCTACTCGTTGGTCTTCATATTTGGCTTCGTGGGCAACTTGCTGGTCGTCCTCACCCTGATAAACTGCAAGAAGCTGAAGAGCATGACCGACATCTACCTGCTCAACCTGGCCGTCTCGGACCTCCTCTTCCTCCTCACCCTCCCGTTCTGGGCCCACTATGCCACAGACGGCTGGGTCTTCGGGGAAGCGGCCTGCAGACTCTTCACCGGGCTGTACCACACTGGTTACTTCGGCGGCATCTTCTTCATCATCCTCCTGACGGTTGACAGGTACCTGGCGATCGTCCATGCTGTGTTTGCCTTAAAAGCCAGGACGGTCACCTTCGGGGTGATGACCAGCGTGGTCACCTGGGGGGTGGTCATACTTGCTTCCCTCCCCAGCATCATTTTCACTGAATTGCTAGAAGAAGACCTTTATTATTCCTGCGGCACTTCATTTCCAGTGAAATGGAAGCATTTCCACACAATCACAAAGGCCGTCTTGAGCCTGGTCCTGCCGCTGCTGGTCATGGTCGTCTGCTACTCGGGAATCCTCAAAACCCTGCTCCGCTGTCGAAACGAGAAGAAGCTCAAGGCCGTGAGGCTCATCTTCACCATCATGATCATCTACTTCCTGTTCTGGACTCCTTACACCGTCGTCCTGGTCCTCACCACCTTCCCGGGCCCCTTCGGCCTGGACAACTGCGAGAGCTCCAACAGGCTGGACCAAGCCATGCAGGTGACGGAGACTCTGGGCATGACGCATTGCTGCATCAACCCCATCATCTACGCCTTCGTGGGGGAGAAGTTCAGGAGGTACATCTCAGCGTTCTTCCGAAGGCACGTTGCCAAGCGCCTCTGCAAACAGTGCCCCATGTTCTACAGGGAGACGGCAGACCGAGCGAGTTCGGCCTACACTCCCTCCACGGGCGAGCAGGAAGTCTCAGCCGGCCTATAACATGAGGAGCCGTTTGCTGGCTACATGGTAAAAGTACCCTCCCGTGAGGGTCAAACTATTCTGTACATATGAATAACCTTCAAGGATTTCTTCCAGACCAAAGATCTGCGAAGCAGGTGACTGGGAATAGACTTGTGCGTCCCAAACCAGACATATGTCATGCCTTGTATTATAAATGTTATGTTTGGGATACTCTGGAACTATAGAAAAAGGAAAGTTCTGTTGGCCCAAGAAGTTCGTTGTCAATCAAAGGTTTAAACCCTTCAGTTGCTCAATGGGAGAAAGATGAACAATCTCCTGTGGTGTGATTTACAGCCTCGGGGAAACTGCTGGAAGGTTAGTTATAAGCTGGTTTCAAGTCAATGGCACATGCCAGCAACAATGGCGGCAGGTAGAGAATGTGTTTCTTCAATCAGCTCACCTCGATTCTAAATGCTGCTGTTTATGCTTTTTCCAAGCTGTCTCACATCAACCCGCCACGCTGACAGTTCAAATCCATCGGCTGCTCTGTGAGAGGGAGACAAGCAACCTCACCCCTCGTGCTTTACAGCCTTGAAACCCAGTGGGAAGGCAGCTGTGTGTCTCTTGTAATCAAGGACCCAGCTGGAAGCGAAGTGAAGGAAATGATTTACCATCACGCACTCGCCTGTGAATCGCAGCATCTAAATTACCAGGCATTGCAGGCTCCATGAGGTGGATGCTAGACTGATTCAAGTCAGGGGGAACATGTTTCCAAATTTGTTTCCACCACTTCATTTTGGGGGTACAGGCTCAGAAATAAAATAAAATGCCCAAAAAGCTACTTTCTCTTTAAAAATATAAACAAATAAAAAATCAAACTCATTAATAACTTTGAGTTGATTCGAACTCATGGCAAGCTCAGTTAGATTTCCGAGGTTCTAAGTCTTTCTGGACAGCATAGGTCTCTGACGGAGGTACTGGTGGACTCCAACTGCCAATCTTTTGGTCAGCAGTGCAATACTATAACACAGTTTACCACCAGGATTTCTTCTCACCAAAAATAGTAAAACTAAAGTTAAAGCTTACTTATCGTTGCAACTTGCAAATGTGGTAAAAAAATCTCATTTTGAAGCCTAGCTGGTTTTAGTTAAAGAGAAAAATCTGGTTGGCTTTGAAAGTTGGTGGCACATGGTATTTTGAGGAGACTGGTGGTTCAGCATTAATGATTACTGATCCACAGAGTTGAAATTCTGTGATCTGTGTTCTGATCCATTTATACAGATGTAACATCCTCAAGGATGCCTTTTGTATGTCAGCACATGCCCCACAAGCCATCATCTCAACCGTGGCTTTCTTCTCTTGGTCTTTCTGCCAAAATGCATACACACTTGGCTTCTAACGGAAAAGTTGGTGGTTCGAACCTGCTCCATCTGAGAAGGACACAGTAGTCAACTTCCATAAACGTTCAGTCTTGGAAACCTTCTAGGGTAGCTCTGCTCTATGCTACCCAGTCATGATAGGAGTTGGAATTGACAATGGAATTGACAATGACAGTAAGATGGGTTGGAGTCTTGTGCTACAAAGCGAAGAGCTTAACCATGTTTGAGAGCTTCAGTGCTTTGCAGTTGTCCTTATTAATGCTCAAATCGTTTCATCTTTGACCAGTAGCAGCTTCCACATCACAGGTCTTGACTCTTGTAGGTAAAGAAGAGGAGTGGCAGCAGCCCACTTCTTGCAGACTTCATTCTTGGTGCTGTCAAATCACGAATGATCATCGGTGTGGGTAATCGGTTTCTCAGTGCATCTAACCAAGAAGCCTGGCCTTCCAGAGCCAGACAATTTGACAGCTAGAAGTCATTATGGTTCTGCTTTCTCGCCACATGGTTAGAAAAGGTTTCCAAACTGCGGAGAAGATAGCTTCCCCTTCAGACTTAAGTATGATCTTAACAAACGTGCTAAATTTTGTTTTGATGATAATGAAATGTAAATAATGTCTAAAAAAGGTTAACTGGGAAAATAAACCAATGTTCTTACCATACTGTTTAAAGACCGTCTATTTTGTTCCTCTTTAATGTGACAGATTTCTCTCTCATTCAACACTTGTCATACTTGCTACTCCATCCCCCGTGTCATTGCACTCAGCTCCCCTCGTCATTTGGCTCACCGTGTATTCAAAGGCTTCCCACCACACCCACAAAAAAAGAAAATCAATGGAGCAGCTATTGCTTTGCAATCAACTCCCACTCATGGCAAACGCATCATGTTACACAAAGAACCACTCGATGGGCTTTTCTTGACATTAATCTACTGAAGCAAACCATCGGGTCTTTGTTCCAAAGCCCCACCAAGTGAATTTGAAATGCCAACCTTTAGGTTGACCGTCAGGCACAAATCATTTGCACCAACCAGAGACTGGAATGGGAGCACAATGCCATCATCTGCCTCCTTCAGTCCAAAGCTTTCAGAGTGGTTCTCTGAACCTCATGCATTTTCCTCTTCAGCAGAGAGAGAGCTCCTTTCAGGTCACTGCTCCTCAGCTTACATGGCCATGTAAGAAGGCCTGGGTTGTTCAGAGCCAGGGACACAGTAGCATGACTCTCACATATAACTGAAGAGTCTGCATTTGCTGCTATCAGGCCCTGCATTTAGGGGCTATTGAAGTACACTGCCTCATTATACTGACTAGTACATAAACTATGTTGTTGTTGTTACTGTTGTTGTGTACCATTAAGTCTGAACCAACCCAGAGCTGACCTGTGAAAACCAGCAGGTTTTCAGAGATAGTTAATCATATGGGAAGAGATTACTCATCTTTTCTCCCATGGAGCAGCTAGTAGATTCGAAACACATGCCTTTGGGATTATATTTATAAATAAAATTTGGAAAGGTGTCTATTTGTTTTTCATCATGGAATTCAACACAACAAATATTTTGAGCATCTACCTTGTGCCAAATGAGTTGTTGTTAGGTGCCATCGAGTTGAGTACGACTCACGGAGACCAATGAACAGCAGATCTGAACACTGTCTTGTCCTGTGACATCCTCACACTCTCTGACACACTTGAGCCCATTGCTGCAGTCACCATGTCAATCCACCTGGTTGAGAGTCTTCTTCTCTTTCATCAGCCCTCCTTCACTTACCCAAGCATGATGTCCCTCTCCAAGGAATAACCTCTCTTAGCAACATGCCCAAAGTATGTGAGGCAAAGCGTCATTATCTTTGCCTCCAAGGAGTACTCTGGCTATACCTTCTCTTAGACATGTCTGTTTGTTCTTTTTGGCAGTATATGAGATACTCAGCACTCTTCTCCAACACCACAGTTCAAAGATATCAATTCTTCTATCATCCTTAGTCATTGTCCAGCTCTCAGATGTATAATAAGTGACTAAAAAGAGCATGGTCCAAATCAGGTGCACCTTAGTCCTAAAACTGACATCATTGCTCCTCAACAATTTAGAAAGGTCCCTCACAACAGACTTCCTCAGTGCAAAAGATCTCCTGATCTCCTGATTCAGCAGTACCACATGTATTGATTGTGGATCTAAATAAGATGAAGTTGTTGACAGTCTCAGTCCTTTCTCCATCCATCATAATCAATGTTGCCTAATAGTCCAGTGGTAAGGATTTTTGTTTTCTTGACATTGAGATGCAATCCATATTGAAGGCTGCAGTTTTTAACTTTCTGCAGCAAGTGCTTCAAATCTTCCTCATTTCAGCAAGCAAGGTTGTATCATAAACATATTGAAGGTTATTGATGAATCTTCATCATCATTTAAAAAGACAGGCTAAGTAGTGAGAGAAGATCTTCACCCTGAAATCTACAGCGTCCCTTTTCAGCAGGAAGTAACTAAGAGAATACGCCGTGCCCTTTTCTCTATGAATCAGGGTGAAGTCTCTCTCAGGGAGGAGCAATAGGGAATGGCAAAGGACACACTGACAAAGGAGATTAATCAGAACTGGCTTTGACAAGCACTGTGGCAATTGGACAATTAAAACAGACTTTCAAGGGTGAAAGAAGAACGAACTGGGGAGGAGGGTAGAGAAAATAGTGCAACAATGAATGAATGAAAACCCAAAATCTCTGTAAATGTTCATTAAATTTAATAAAATTTAATAATTTTAAGAAAGACAGACTAAGAAGAAAGATAAGCAATCCTCTTCTGAAATAACTGGCTTCTGAAAACCCTATGAAAAAATAAAGGAACATGAATAAACGTAACATTACAGCCAGTTGCTTGAGGTCCGTAAAGATGGCTAAATTAACGTCGGTGCCCTTCAGAAATTCCAAGTCTACTGGAAGGTCATCTATGAGTCAGTTCCAGTTTCCCGGCACACAGCAACAATTAACAAGATCTTATAAAGAAAAAAAAAAAAGATCTTCTTAGGGCCAAAGAAAAGGCCACTTTAAAATTGACAACCATCTCCATTACTGGACATGAGAATGTCAAGTCTCTCTTTTTTTTTTTCAAAATTAATTTTAACGAAAGTTTTACAGTGACTTAGGGTTTCCAAGTCATTCATTGTTACACTTTTCTTCCTGCCTACCCCTCCCCCCAATTCACTCTTCTCCTTGAAAAGAAAAAGAAAAACTCTTTTATTATTATGCAATCCCTTCCCCCAAGTCCACTCCACTGTGCAGCCTTCATTCTGGACCTCTGTAATGACAAGAATACCCATTCATATGTCCCTTTTAAACAGTTCTCTCCCTCATCTATTTCAATGGAATATACATCATTCTTCCCCTCCTTTTCTGTCTTCCCTCAACCCTGATGTGAGACCCGTTTTACAACAGTGGCCCTATGCAATGTTTGTCCTTTTGTAACTGAGATATTTCACTCAGCATAATACCCTCCAGGGTCACCCATTTTGCATAATATTTCATGAGTTCCTGGTTTTTCGGTGCTGCATAGTATTACATAGTGTGAATATACCACAGCTTCTCTATCCATTCTTTTGTTGATGGGCACTTGGGTTGTTTCCAGCTCTTTGCTATTGTGAACAAAGCCGCAATAAACATGAGTGTGTAAAGTCTTTTTAA